ATACCATACCAACGTAATCACACAAATTCGAAATAATTAAAAAGGTCAGCAGAATTCTGTCCACAAGGTGCGGCTACATTGCCATGTCTTATCTAACAAAAGTATGAAAAAAGGAGGTGTTCTTAATTTCAGGTGATAGTGTGCACAAATGGCGATTTTGACTACTATCTCAATTGCAGAAGAATCGCTTTTCACTATAACCTGTGGCTTGGATAGTAAGTTGGATGAGTATGAAAAACTTATCACTAACTTTAAGGAGGTCTGTCGATACAGAATTGCAATTTCCTTCCGACCGTTGCACTATTAGGCAAAGTTCTCAAGTGGCCAGTAGAGACTGATTAAAAGTGTTTAATAACTTCATACTTAACATATCGGCATTTAAACGCAGAGAAGCAGGCACCAGTGCGTACATTGGGGTCCTAACTGCCTGATTGACAATAATTTTGCCCAATGCATTGATCGTTTTCCACTTCCTGACGGTGTGCATGCCAGGGCAATATAGATGTGGGGTTGGTTAAATGCTCCCAACTCACAACTGAGTATTTCGTACGGATTTTCTAAGGACTCTGGTGTGGCTTTAGGTGCTTCCACTTTTTTTAACTTTTCATGCAGCGGTGCGAGTCTAGGAGGACTTAGACAATGCACTTACAGCACAATCCCATTGTCATGTCCTCCCTCAACAAGACGGAATCGACTTCTCGGAAAGAAGAAGGCGTAACTATGATTGGAACTATGCAACTGTGTGAAGGTAGCGTCACATAGCAGTGAATAGCCTACCGAGTACGACTCAGCACGAAATACTCAAAGCTCGGTATTCTGACGCTCTCTGTCAGCTCTCATTTTGATCGTATCCTACAACTTGGGGACAAGGGTTTTGTCATTTCCATAGTCCATTTCGTTTCTCCTAGACTTCTCACCGTGTCGACCACACACTTCCTCTCCCGAAACGTCCTTTTTTTGGAAAAATTGGCGAAATTATGAATTAACCAACTTATCTGGGCTGACGCACAAGATTTCCAATGTGATCTCCAACCTCGCACGAGTGATAAATGGATTTGTTCAGGATAGTGTCCTTGAAGTGCTGCTATTTTGCCTTTTTGTTAATGATGTACCACATTTATTTAATAATGGAAGGCCCTTTATGTTCTCTGGTGATTTGGAAGTTACCTGGAGATATAAACTGTCAAATCGCAACATCGTACGATCATTAGGTCTTCGCCCAGTGGTGCTGTACATGATACCTTTCCCTCCCTTGACACAAATGTTCAGGTATTGTCGCTGGAGATGATCAGTAGCCTCAACTAAGCATTGACGACCACGAAATAAATGCACAAAAAGTTATTCAGGACCTACGTGTGTCATATTCCAAGAATCTATATCTTTCAGAATACTGTGTCCTGAATGTCTTTCAAGTACGCAGAATAGGTGGGCATATGCCGTGAAATTCGAAAACTAGCGATATTAAAACCCACCTTTATAAGATGTCCATCAAACCTACTCTTGAATTTTATTCGTTTCTACTCAGCCTCCTGTGTATTGTTGAGCGGAATAAAATATAATCCATCCAATTTTTGTATGCCAAAATTTACAAGGCCGGAGTCCCGAACTTTGGCGTACCAAGAACGTTGTAGGCATACAAGCCTTAACCCCTAGTGTTTTCGCCGATGTCGAGAGGGAGTCACTGACTGCTTAAGCTTTTACAATGCTGTTCTGGTAGTCAGCTTACCACTTTGAGACATCTTGACTCCGTCGACATCACAGTCACCACATGGTTTTCTTATTTCTTCCAATGGCACGTACGAATATATATCGTCAGTTCTTTTACATGAGTAAAATCACAATCTGGGATTACGAAAAATTGGCAAAGTATTCTTTGCTTAAAGGGACTGTTACACGTTTTCTGCATTCTGAAAGACTGCCGAAGTTTCCGGGTCACGTAATGGTCGAGTTCACGGTCTCTGATCCCTTTGCTCGGTCCCATCTTGCTGGAAATGGCTCTGCCTGTGCAGCCTACAACCAAGTGGGTACGTTTTCAATCAAAGAATGAAAGCTCCATCCACACACCCTCTTTGGTACAGTCTTAATTCCTGAAGGTGTATGGAGGCTGAAAACACCCGGTAAAGTGCAAAATGGTCCCTTTCTGGATTTGATTCATTTTGCGGTCTGTAAATATTTCTCCTAATTTAAGTATACTGATTAAGACACTTCCAATTGTACTTAAAGTTCAGGTTTTTTCCCTGCTAACATGTTCCGTGTTCTACATTTTTGACAAGGCATGTAAAATGACACTTGCTGCAGTTATTTTTATTATTGCTTGCTATGCACGACTATGAATTGAAACGGGTATGAACACTTGATAACGGATATCTGAGTTATAGGTTTGTGTAATATGGAATTATGCCTGTGTTACATTAGCTCCCCATTTTAAGAGCTAATTATTCAAATCAGTTCGAAAATTTTCAATAACATTCTCTGAGCTACTGGTCACGTCTCCATATAGCAGTTGATCTAGAGTTTTGTCTAAAGGCTTTCTGTCACCGCATGCAGGGACATATTCTTAAACAACCTAGCGAATTTACGAAGTTGCCATAGCTTAAGGATGGCCTGAAGGCACATAGGCACGTGTCGTATATCCGACCATGATTCTAACCCTCATAGATAAAGGAAAAACTACAAGTCTTTTTTTATAAGCTAGTCTCTTTCAGGCATTACAACCTGCTAGACGACATTTTCTCTCACTCTGCAAAATTAAAATGACGATGATTTGCGGCAGTATGTTTTCTACGAAAGGTACCACAGAAAATTAATCACAGTAAATTATGAGATTTTTGAGGTCATGCAGTGTCCATTCATACAGTATTCTGCCTGTCCGTTTATTAATGTTCCGAAAGGATGTACCAAATAATTCGCACCCACTTCAAAATTTTGTGAAATATCCATGACATCTTCTCAAAGGCATAGAGGAACATATGCTTTTGCTTACGCGGAAATTATACACCTTGTGTGGGCTGAAATCGCTAAACCCTAATGCAACGGCTGGTCTGGCTAATACTTATTAAGGAATTGGGAAACTTTTAAAAACCTAAAAATGTCCTTTCTTCGGGTATGAAATTTAATGAAGACGAACTTTGCTGTCGATTGAATAAAAGAAGACATATTATTGTCACCACAAATCAATGGAAAAAATAACATTCTAATTAAGTAGTTATTTCAGTGAGTGGAGTTTTTACAGGAGGTTGCAAGGAGGCGCATTTGAAACTAACATTTTTGCGAGTCTGAAGTATTACAGAATTA